CACCAATCAGAGATCAATTACCATGTCAGCCCATTGCTTTTACTTTCAAAAGGCCAGCTCAAAAGACATGGCTCTATCTGGAAGTCAGTACTAAATCGGCAAAATAAAGAATAGTTACGTTTCTTAAAATATGGAGGCATCTCAATCTTCTGAACCACTTTATGCATCATGTTAAAGGGATAATTCACCCCAAAAAATTAATGTTCTTTGATTATGTATTCACCCTCAAGTCTTTCCAAACCTGTTTGAGGAACACAAAAGAAGATATTTCGAAAAATGTCTTCAAAAAAAGAATCAATGTCAGTGGAGTGCAAATAATGTTGTTTTGGACCCCACTGACTTCTACTAAATGGGCAAAACTATTCAAAATACCCACTTTTGAGTTTGAGAAAGTAAATGATGACTGAATATTCATTTTCGAGTGAACGCGAGTGGACTTTCATAGACAGGCAGGTCAAAGTGGGCTGTTCCTAGCTGAGACATGATACACACGACGGCTACAAGTGATTCATTAGCAGGTAGAGGACAAATCAGGTGTACACAGCCCAGAAGGTACAACATGATCAAATTAAACCAATTAATCACCGTTTTAGAGACAGCAAAGGTTCTCTTCCATTATTCATAGCCTCCTGCTTAACCCAATGGGAAAACCACAGCACTTACAGAAGGGGGTGAACAGGAGTGATCGCTATTCGACATAGAACAGATGCTGAGTTTCTATGGACAAATGATCAAATAATCAGGATAATGCCGTAGGTGTGGAACAAAAAAGTTGAACATCTAGGTCGTGTACCAGAGACATCAATCTATAGGATCAACTTTAACAATGTAGAAAGAGCAGTGTATTGGATTTTTGGATGATGATTTGAACTATACAACTAGAGATGGTTTATGTCTTGTTCAGGTTCTCACAGACAGCCGTCAAGACCTTCAATCCATACAAAAGCCATGTATCTAAACCCTCACAGCAAGGGTCAAACACTGGGCTCCTCTCAGCAAGCTCTCTCCTGACCTCATTAAAACGATGCCTTCACCACAACCGTCCTCAATCTAAACATTCTTTACAAGCAAGCTCCAAAAAAGCCAAGAGAGGTGTTGGAGAAGCAATAACAACCAGCAAGAGTTCTCTATTCACCGAGACCGCAGAAGGAGAAATCAAGAGTGACCCCGTCTTTCAGGGCTGTGACCTTTCCCAGTGAGAGGCTGAGGGTGAGGGTCCGCCTAGTCAAACTCTATATTGAAAAGGACAAATACATCTTCCTACTCCAAACAGCAACTCTCCTGCTGGAATTTTCCATCCTTTCCACACTCATGGATCTCAGTGGCTCCACAAAACCAAACCGCAGGGTTTCAACACGTGTTCCAGGCTAAAAAGCATTTGCAAAATTAACTTTTCGACCTCTAGAACAACCAGATTTTTGAAGGAGATTAGAGTTTTGTGCTTGCAAGGAAGCAATATTATATATATATATATATATATACACACACACACACACACACACACACATTAAATCACCAATGTTTTTAAAAAAGTTATCACATCAAAAATGTGACTGTGTGTACCAGGGTTGGGCAAAACTCATTGGAAATGAAGAATTAGCTCCCTTTCAATTGATGAACTGAAAATCGAATCAATTTGGCTGCAAGTTGACACACACACACACACACACACACACACACACACACACACACACACACATTAAATCACCAATGTTTTTAAAAAAGTTATCACATCAAAAATGTGACAGTGTGTACCAGGGTTGGGCAAAACTCATTGGAAATGAAGAATTAGCTCCCTTTCAATTGATGAACTGAAAATCGAATCAATTTGGCTGCAAGTTGAATTTGAATGACAGGAAGAAGTCCATCACAGGCAATGCATTCTGGGAAATGAAGTGTTCTTCCACCACAGTCCACAACATTAGTTTTAAAAATATGATGAAATGTATAAACTAAATTTCTATATGCGGCACTTAAATTCTATATACCTGTTCATAAAACCTTCAAACAGCAGGGTTAAACATTTTTCAAACTTAAATTTTGCTTTTCTAGTTAAAATGAGCTTGAATGCTGCACAACCTTGGTATGTATGATATACATTAAGTAAAGCTGTTGTAACTGCAAAAATATGTGGAAAAGAAAGAATGTTTACAGCACACAAAGAAATTTTCTAGTGGTTCAAGCTGTTTTAAATGTCAGAAATCTGTGGACAACTCCTAAAAAAAAAAAAAAAGAGGAATTCAATAATCTCCCTGCGAAACTTTATTATAGAATTTTTTCAAGCTGACAGTTTAACTCTCACTTGACTCAAATCTAACAATTCCAAGGCTCCACATTTAATAGGTTCAGTCGAGCATCTTTCCATCCAACCACAAACTGACACACTTCACAACTACATCTACAAGTACACATAGCATCAATCAGCCATAGGCGATCTAGAAGGTGAAAACTCCACAAACTGATAAGCAGCCAAGGGGAGAAACCAAACACTCTGTTGCCCAATGTCAGTCTCACTTAGACAAGAGCACAGATAGGACAGGATGAATGTGTTTGTCTTTGTGTTGGTTTCCTCTTCTCAACCAGCTGCAGGCAGCAAGAAAATGGCTTTGCGCATCATTCTCTCAAAGCGCCAGACCAAGAGAGTATGAGAGTGAGCGTGGAGATTCACAAATTTACCCTCGAGCCTTGTGAATGAGATCGGGCTGTTGATATCCCACTAGTAGCAGCAACGGGAGGGGGTCAGCTGGATGCGCTAAAATGTCATTCAATCATTCAGCCTGACATCGATGAGGATTAAGCTTGCTTTCAAGACCACAGACCCCCCTCGCCTCGCCCCAACCACACACACACAGCTAATGAGAGATGGAGATAGCTACAGATGTCTCCATTTGTGCCGTTTACCTGCTGTGCCAAAAGCAATTACGACAGCATGACACTTGTGACCAGCCCCTGCCATTCTCAAAGTGGCATGAGCGATGGCAAACTGGTTTTCATCTGATAAACCTTTTACAGATTTCTATGAATTGCATTGGTGTTGGAACTTAACACAAGAACATTAGAACGTCTGTTGTACTTTGAGAGCTGCTGTACATTGGAAGAATGAAAAATCACTTACTGACATTACGTGCACAGAAATCAATGTTGCAAGTATTGCAACGGTATCATTGATATTTTAATATTTTAAGTATCATTGATATGTGTCATAAATGGAAATCTATATGTGCATGCATCACATATATTTCAATGCAATGAAGAGCAGCATTTAGTGTATTCGTAATTGTAATGTAGTTTGATTCAAAGGTTTGCATAGCAATTATTTAATGCACCAAATCTTTCAAACTATTTTATTTGAATCAAGCACACTTTTTATATCAAGGCACCGTTTCAACTGAGCTGTCTCAATAAGATTACTAAGTGCACGTATATTTAGCTACTGAGAAACAGAAGTATGAACAAAACAAGTCCGTAAGTGATGATTCTGATAAGCCTCTTAGACAAAAACTGTTAGACAAAACTTCACAAGGATTTTCCATAAAGCCTAAACAGAAAAACTACTTTGCAAATCCCTATAAAGCATTTTGTGAAAAGACTGAATATCTTTGAAAGTGGACGTCTGGCTTAAGAAACTGTACTGAGTTAAAAACAAGTTCAATTTTTTAAAACACATCTCAAGACTCCTGTATTCTCTTCCACTTCATCTATCCATTTCTGAATGCAAGAATGTATCCTGTATAACGGCCCTAAAGCTCTTTTTAATCCAAATTGAAATAAACTAGCTTTGTGCCACAAATGCATAGGCTAATTCGGTTTGACTTGACTTTTTTCCACTGATAAATCTACGAAACTCTATAAAGCATTGTGAATAGTCCGTTTACGAGCAGACTATCTTTAAGAGAGGACTTGTGGCTTGGCTTTAAAATCTGTGCGTCTGAAACCTCAGGGAAATGTGTTTCAAATAAACAAACTTATTTTCAGAGGGACGCCATGATTAGTAACTCGAAACTGGCCACATGTACAAAGCACCATTCAAGTCCTATCTAGAACACTTTAAAACACAGAAAAGAGAAAGACTCAACAAATGCAATTTAGCTTTAAAAAAGCGATTGATTCTCAAACATCCCTGCAACCATGACTGGAACAACAAATACATCTGATTCCTATTCAAAAGGAGGAAAAAATTCTTTGTATCTCCTTTCTTCCAACATATGTCACCGTCTAAAGAAAATGATGTCAATTTCAGCCAAATAATGAACAAAAACAGCACAAATCTCTCCGGTCAAGACCTGTTTGGTGTGACTAAGGTGTCATTTTACAAATTCACCTCAGAGCAATCTCAGTGGCAGCAGCTGAGGGAACTGATCTTCATTTGAGTCAGCCAGAAAATTCCCTTTCATCATTCCCAACAGTAAATGTTCCCCAATGTCTGAACCTGACCCTGTCATTACCATCTACAATCAATCATTACCCTCAGCTCTTCTTTTAGGTTCAGTCAAGAGTTTCCCCATCCCCTTGTTCTGGACCGGATGGATGGATGAATGGATGGACGGATGGACGAATGGACGAATGGATGAGGGGCAGTGGTGGCTTTCTACAAGTGCTCTTCTTTCCAATGCCTACTTACCAACAAAACCTCCAAATCTGCAATGGCTTATTCTCTCTGAAAAAATGTTTTAACATTTAACAAAAATACACATGATAGTCAAAGCAACCTGGGGTGATCACCTAGTTATCAGTCACTAAATAGCAAGATCATGTACGACCCTTTGCAGAATTTATACATTCAAGCTTCTACCAACCCAGATGTAACCACTAAACCACAAAATATAACCACAGTAACTAGGCTGTGCAGGGCAGAATGGTAAACATCGGGGTACGAATTAGGGTTGGTACAATGAGCTGGTAGAAACGGATTAATTGCTGAACGTTATCGTTGGATTTGGCGATACCGCGCTGCGCTCGTAAACGCGTCCACCGCAACGAACGAGAGAGACGGAACTTACCTTTAACCGCACCGCCGAACCGGAGAACGATGAGACTTGCGAAAAAAACGAGCAGCCGTGCCCCCCGCTCCGCCATCACTTTCTGAGGTAAAAATAATAATAATACACAAAATAATCTCGGGGAAATGCACAAGTTATCCACTGTGTTTTCTGAGGTAAAGTTTTACCGACAAGGTGTTTTATACAAAAACGCTGAACATCGTCCGCAACCGGTAAGATCTCGCGCTCCACCGGTGCCACAAAATAAACATTTAATTCTCCTGTAAGAGTCAAAGGCGAGAAGGCGAAGGGTCCGGGTGTTTTCTTGAACTTAAAACCCCGAAGAGGGCTTTTAAAGGAGGCATTAAGTCAATCCACAGCCGACCCACAAAGGCAGCGGCTGCAAATGGGTTCCGACGCGCTTCAGACCGACCGGCGTGTTTCTCGACGCGCTTCAGACCGACCGGCGTGTTTCTGGACGCGCGGAGAAAGACGCGTTCAACAGATTTAACGGAACCGCAGTGGAATATCCAACATAAGCACACGGCGTGTGGTGCTGGAGAGGATTGTAGTGGGCATTGGTCCGTGAAAAAGCAGGCGTGGATTCTCACAGGATTCGGGATTTTTTTTTGGCCCGGGAAAGTCAAAAATCACAGCGTGTGGGTGCGTAATACGCATGCGCACATCTGGATCCCGGTGTGTTGAGATGATTGCTAATTTAGGAATCACATTACTTTTGAACCACCGCATCTTATTACATACTAATACTAATGTATTTAGCTAATGTATTCAGCTACTCAAAAACACAGTAGCTTCAGAAATTATGCTTGTACACACACACACACACAAGCATAATTTCTGAAGCTACTGTGTTTTTGAGTAGCTGAATACATTATTGCCACAGGATACAAGTTTTTCTACTTGATAAGTCAGTTGCAATGCTTATTTTAATCTTTACCTTTGAAATATGATTGTATGCAAATTATGATGTAGAACAAAACGTGAAAGTCTCTTCAAGTATTGTCCCAGACCTGATTTTACTCATAAATCAAAAGCCGCTATCAAAACCAAAAACCAATGGAAATCCCCGCGGGAAGCCATGGCGAATTAGGTTGCGAATTGACTTCATGACTAAAGAGCTCTATTTTGATCAGTTAAAAGGAGGAAACAAAGCAAAAACCTAAAAGTGCTTGGCAAGAGGCTGGTGGAAATGGATGTTGTGTATATGATTAGCTACTCATAGTGCCATCCACTGGTTTACATGCAGAACAGCGCCTGAGGGCAAGCTACTGTAATCAACCATGTCCAGTTTTTCATGTTAGACAGGCAGCAATAAAACAAAGTGTGCAGTAATGTCTTTAGATGTGTCCTCATTTTTGCTCACTCGTATAGTAAAATATGACATTGACCATGTAGTGAATAGTCAGTGAGAACGAGCGACACATTTCCAGACCACCATATTCGGAGATTGTCTAATTGACTTCACCATCAATTTTCTGTATTTATGTATGATTACATATAATGGTTGAAATGTGTCAGTATTCAATCAAAACTATGTCCTTGGTATACTGCAGAGAGGTCACGTAATACATGCTCAGGTGCCCTTGGGTCTTGAAATTCAGCGTTTAATCCAAGGGCACAGCGCACTTGCTTGTCTTCCCTGTGGGTGAACGTCTCATAAAGAATGTGTATGCTCACTAGGAACAAAGGGATACCTGTGTATGAGTCACACACACTGAATATGCTTGAAGTGCAAAAAAGATGTCAGTCGTAATGAAGATAAAGTTTCTTTTGAATTCTGAACGACTACTGTACAACAAATTGACCAAAGCTGAGCTGGCCGTGGGTCATTTATCAAACTTCTCTGTGTTTTTGAAGAGGAAACAGAAGCTGTTCTTTCTCATCTTTTGAGGGCCGTATGTGGTGTAGATCTCCAGCGAGCCCTGACGATGCCAATTATTCAGCACTCTTTAGAAGTACGAGTGCTCACTTCACTCAGAATGGAGCCAGAATACGGAAGGGTGTTTTTTTGTTATTAGAATTAATTTGGCAATTTTGAATAATGACTGTAAAAAGACGGTTGCTGCCTGAAAGTGGCCTGAGGGGCAGGATAAACATGTGGAAACACTTTTACATGGTTTAAGGTTATTTGCTTCAAGTGGAGATGGGTTTATAATGGCTTGGGCAAAATTCAGAACTGAAGAGTTGGAACCCTTCAATTCATGCATGTGAACTGGAATGCACTTGGATGCAAAAGATGTTGTGAATTGGAATGAGAGGAAGAGCAATTTCTTGCACCACAATTTATAACTATAAACTACAAAATTAAAGTAATAGTTCACCCGAAAATGAAAAATTGCTGAAAATGTACTCACTCTCATGCCATCCAAGATGTAGATGAGTTTGTTTCTTCATCAGATTTGCAGAAATGTTGCATTACATCACTTGCTCACCAATGGATCCTCTGCAGTGAATGGGTGCCGTCGCTTTTGGCCAAAAGACGAATCCATAACAACGCTTCCTCCAGTGAAAAAGTCTATCCCCTGTTGTCCGGACCGTTTTCGCTTGTCAATGTTGCTTGATCTGTGCATATTTCTCTCCTGATTCAGACAAGATGACTTTTTCACATGAAGAAGGCAATATTATGGGTAGAGGGCTTGTTTGAAATTAAAAGCATCTTAATGAAGGAGTGGTTTCATACAAACACACATCTTTTGGCTTCACAAGATGTTAATTGATGGACTGGAGTGGTGTGGATAACTTCTGGATTCTGACGGCACCCATTGACTCCAATGGTGAGCAAGTGATTTAATGCTTAATTTCTCCAAATCTGTTCTGATAAAGAAACAAACTCATCTACATCTTGGATGGCCTGAGAGTGAGTACATTTTCATAAATTTTTCATTTTCGGGTGAACTATTACTTTGATTTTGTAGTTTATAGTTATAAATTGTGGTGCAAGAAATTGCTCTTCATGTCATTCCAATTGAGGATGAGTACGTTTTTAGCAGTTTTTGATTTTTAGATGAACTAAAAGGTCAATGAAGAAACTTGTGCCAACCTTCCTGAGACTGACAGAGAAAGGTATATCTATGTCACCGTTGATTCTGAGGAATTATTGAGTCTCTTTAAAGCCCTTAAAATGACACTGAACAGCTTTCAATTAGCAGACTAGGAAGAAGAAACAGCTTGCCACTGCAGTGTATAAATGGCTCCAGAAATCTGACAGATGGAGAACTGACATTGAGAACGAGTTTATTTGCTGTCAGAGCTGAAAGCAGGATGAGATGTCATTTGACGACAGACTCTGCACAGGATGATGTTCACATTAAGTGAACCAAAGCGGCACTAGAAGATGAAGGCAATATTTGGGATGGAATGTTAATGTATTGCTGCACAGTATGCACTGCATAATATTTATTAATGTAGTACACACTATGCTTACTAACACTATTACTTAAAAAAAAAATTTAACCCAATGAAAATGTCTTAACTTTTAGTGGTTAGTGCATTGCTTTGTAGGTATACAGTATTACATGCATGTTTTGCATATGCATTTTGCATATCTGAATACAAACTGTAAAACTATGAGAATGCCATTTCAAACCCTCGTTCTTCGTCCTCCTGCCCTCTCTCTCTCTCTCCTCTCACGGGAATAAATCTCACTCTGGCCAAACTCCTGGGATTATCTAGGATTACTGCACGGTAAGAAAACATCACCAGATTTAATGTGATCAGGGTAAGACCGGCAAAACCTATTACTTAGAGGCAGATCATGCTGTTTGAGTCAAGATCTCTCACACATATGTGTCCAGTCCTCAGAACAGATCTAAAAGTTCACTGTTTATGTGTATTTTCTCACTAAGCGTTTTTAAATTCGATACTCAGCTTCAATCAGTCATTAAACGTGTAATGAGAGGTACAGGGAGGGGGCGTCTGTCTTTTCTGTATTAAGTTAGGGACTAAATTAAATAACGTGAAGGAGCTGATTAAATTTGCAATGTCTGCTGTCTCCTGTCATTAATTTTACAGAGTGTGAATTTGGCACGGTGCAGTCAGCTCTGATGCGGTCGCAGCAGTTCACCCGTCACCGAGACAGCACGCCTCAGCCCTCCGGTCATGTCCCTGGAAAACTCAGCCGAGGGGGCAGAGAAACAGAGGCGGGACACTGGGTCTGTCAATCAAATTGACCCAGAGGACGCACAGACACGATCACCTCGCTGCATGTAGGACAGTTGTCACCCAAAGTGATTGGATTGTTTCCCAAATGTTCTCATTCTAAAAAGGTTTAAATGTGTTGTAACAAATCTATGTTGTTCAGCGCAGACACGTTTATGCAAAGCAACTTGTGATGCACTGCAGCAAACTGGGGTTATAGGGTTCACCTAAAAAATATAAATCATGTCAACCCATATGACTTTCATTAATTCAATTTGTGTCACATTTACACTATCCGAGGATGAGATTTTGTAAAAAAAAAATGTTTTTAAAAGAAGTAAATTAGGATGCATTTATATGATCAAAAATGTGACACTGGCTGTGAAAACCCAGCTAAAGCCATTTTTTTTGTGATGTACTGTTTTTTTACATAAAATCATCCTCATATGGTAAAGAACATTGTGTAGAAATTTAACCTTGATTTCCTTAATATTGACTGAGTAAGGCCATGTCAAAGATTGAAATTACAGTGAAATTTAATTTTAATGCTTGTTATCTCATCATTAGATTCTGAGACTTTAGCCTGGATTTCACAGACAGGGTCACAAATACACTAAAAACAGTTATATTGTGAAATATTTTTTAACATTTAAAACAGTTGTTTTCTATTTGAATATATTTCAAAATGTAATTTATTCCTGCGATGTAAAGCTGAATTTTCAACATAATTGCTCCAGTCTTCAGTGTCACACGATCCTTCAGAAATCATTCTAATATGCTGATTTGCAAGAATCATTCTGATTATTATAAATGATGAAAACAGTTGTGCTGCTTCATATTTTTGTGGAAATCATGATTTCAGAATTCTTTGATGAATAGTAAGTAATTTTAATCAAATTAATGCTGACTAAAGTATTAATTTCTTTAAAAAAATGAAATCAAAATCTTACTGACCTCAAATTTTTAATCGCTTCAAATATGTGATGAATGCCATTGGTTCCTGCATGTCCCCGTGTGAAACAAAAACATTAAAGCAAACAAATAAGCTACATGAGTCATATTAAACCAGTGAGTATTGTCATGTAAGTCTTGGTGACACCAAAAAGTATATCTGGCTGACATGTATCTGCACTTCTACTGCTTGCAGGTAATCCACTAAGAATGTTCATCTTTTTCAAGCTGGTTTGAGGGCTGTAACGCAGAAATGATTTCAAAGACAGGAAGTTGTTGTATTGAGGTCAAACCAACTTAAAAGACAGTAACATCCCGCTCTCTCAAGCCACAGAGGACGCAGCGGGGACGAACTGCAGAATGGTAAGAAAAAACAGGCCTAAATCTTCACACAAAAACAGCAACTTCAGAGGGGGACAAGCACAGAAAACCCACAATCCTCCACAACCAGCGATGCAGCCCTGCTTTCA